TCATCCCACTACTTTTACTAACAATCATCTTGGATAACGTTTGCAAACTTGTTAGTTGAGCGATTCCTTGAGTCATCTCATTTAATTTTTCAGTACTAGCAATGTCTAGATAGAAAAGATTAATGAGGCTGTCAGGTAATTAAGTCTGGAGCATCCTCTTAGAATCAACACTTGTAAATTGATAAGGTTGCTCACAGATTTAGGCAAGCACTTTAGTAAAGTTCCAGCTAGGTCTAGGTACCGTAAACTTTCTAAATCACCAACAGAATTTGGCAACTCATCTATTGAATAACCATTTAACGATAGCACTCTTAAGTAGTGCAATTTTGACAATATGTCAACCAAAACTCTTTGGGTAAAGAAACCATGATTATGAATGGGTAGCGGCAAAAATGTCTTTAAGCTTCCAATTTCCTTAACAAAATTGAATCTTTGGTATATTTCATAGTCATGGCGAATGAATGACAAGTGACGGACATTTTCAAAAATGTAGCTAGGAACCTTTTCCTTCAACTCATCGTCCATCCTCAAACATTTGTCCCCAGCAACAAATTTAGCTAGATCATTAAGGAGGTCATGCATCACATAATATGAAGAACTAGCACTTGATTTTTGGAAGAATGATCTCGCAAACAGTTCGTCACAATATTTATTGCCTAATTGTGTTGACATTTCTCTTTGTGATACTTTTAAAAAACCTTTTGCTATCCAAAGGTATACTAGCGTGGACTTGTCGAGCTCGTAGTCCTTGGGAAAGAGAGCACAGTAAGCAAAGCATCTTTTCAGTTCTGGGCGCAGATATTGGTAACTCAGTTTTAAAGAAGGAAGAATTTTAGTTTTGCCTTCTGCTATCCAAATCTCACTATTCAATACATCCTCCCATTCTTTAGGACTATCCATTGTTCTTAGAAGCCCTCCAAGTGCCTTTACTACTAGTGGCAAGTTTTCACATCTTTTCACCATGACCTTACCAATATCTCTTAGATCTGGGCGCGCATCAAAAGTTTTGGCTTCAAGTGCATGTTGAGGTAACAATGATAAAGCATCGGTACTCGTCAACACATTCAAAC